CAAGGCTCAAAAAGTTTGAAATGGAAGAATGAATGTTGAATGAAACCTTTGCTTGATCTCATGTTGTTAATGTCTTCTTTGCAGCCTCAAAGTTCTTAAACCTGTGTTCTATACCCATTACCTTGATAATTTTCTATTATTAGTCCTTGCAGCCCTGGTGGTGCAGTGGTTAGGAGCTCGGCTGATAACCAAAAGGTCGGCAGTTTGAATCCACCAGCTGCTCCTTGGAAACCCTATGGGGCAATTCTCCTCTGTCCCGTAGTGTCACTAGGAGTCGGAATTGACTCGATGGCAATGGGTTTTTAGTTTTAAGTTTGCTTTAAGAAGCCCTGGTTGTGCAATGGTTAGAAATAATATATTAATTAAGAACCTTTTTTTAGACTCTCTTGCTGTCTAAATAAATTTGTCTCCTTTATTCACATTAGTAGAAAAAAAAGTATGTGTTTATTGTGCCTATTATTTATAAAGTACTACATTTATTGCTAGCTGAATAAGCAGGGTAAATAATTTTTATGAAAAGTAAAGCAATGATTTGAAATTAATATTAGATCAATAAGATGTTTTTTGTATAGAAGAGTTGTTGGATTATAAACACTGGACTGGCAAATAAGGTAATTTTCATAAGGATTATACATGTATGAATTACTAATACTCTAAAACTACAATAATCAAAAAAATGTGGTATTGTTGAAAGGGTAGACATAAGTCAATCAACAGAATCTAGAAGTAGACCCACACATGTATGGTCAATTGTTCTTTGACAAAAGTGCAAAGACAATTCAGTGCAGAAAGGATAATCTTTTTAACAAATGGTGGTAGAATAGTAGGACATCCATATTTAAAACAACAAACACAGTGAACCTCAACCCGTATCTCATACCATATACAAAAATTAACTCAAAATGGATCATAGTCTGCTCCTGCCACTTCTATTCAGCATTATATTACAAGTTCCAGCCAGGAGAATTAGTTTTTTAAAAGAAATAAAAGGCATCAAGATTAAAGCTGTTTCCATTTGAGGAAGACATCGTCTTGAATATAGAAAATCCTGAGTAATCAACAAGATATATTATATCTAATATATATATATTGTATATTATATATTATAGCTAAGAAACAAGTTCAGCAAGATTGCAGGGTACAAGATCAATATACAAAAGTCACTTGTATTTTTTGTAGACTAGCAGTGAACAATCTGAAAATGAAATTAAGAAAACAGTTTCATTTATAAATTGCATTATAAAGAATAAAGTACTTAGGAATAAATTTAACCAAAGAATTGCAAGACTTGTACATTGAAAACGATAAAACAATATTGGAAGAAATTAAGACAGCCCGTTTTCATGGGTTAGAAGACTTAATATTGTTAAGGTGGTAGTGCTCCCCAAATTGATCTACAGATTCATTGTAATCTCAGCTGGCTTTTTTGTAAAAATTGACAACATATAAAAACTCATGAAAAGGTTTACACACAGGAGGAAATAATCTTTGATGGCTACAAGGGAGGGGAGGGGTGAGGAGGGAAAAACACTAACTAGATAGTAGATAAGTGATAACTTTGGTGAGGGGTAAGACAGTACACAGTACTGGGGATGTCAGCACGACTTGACCAAGGCAAAGTCATAGAAGATTCATAGACACATCCAAACTCCCTGAGGGACTGAGTTTCTGGGCTGAGGGCTGCCGACCATGGTCTTAGGGGGCACATCTAGCTCAATTGGCATAACATAGTTTATAAAGAAAATGTATTACATCCTACTTTGGTGAGTAGCATCTGGGGTCTTAAAAGCTTTCAAGTGGTCGTCTAAGATATGTGTACTGGTCCCACCCCATCTGGAGCAAGGGAGAATGAGGAAAACCAGAGACACAGGGAAAGAGTAACCCAAAGCACTAATGGACCACAACTACCACAGCCTCCACCAGACTGAGTTCAGCACAACTAGCTGGTGCCTGGCTGCCACCACTGACTGCTCTGACAGGGATCACAATACAGGGTCCCAGACAGAGCTAGAGAAAAATGTAGAACAAAATTCTAACTCAAAAAAAGAGAGAGAGAGAGACCAGACCAGACTTACTGGTCTGACAGACTGGAGAAACCCCAAGAGTGTGGCCCCAGGACACCCTCTTAACTCAGTACTGAAGTTACTCCTGAAATTTACCCTTCTCTGAAGATTAGACAGACCTATAAAACAAATAATAACACATGTAATTCAACCATGTGTACAAGACTAAATGGGCACAGCAGCCCAGGGGCAAGGACAAAAAGGCAGGGACAGGAAAGCTGGACCAGTGGAAATGGGGAACGCAAGGTTGAGAAGGGGAGAGTGTTGACACGTCATGGGGTTGGCAACCAGTGTCACAAAACAATATGTGTATTGTTTAATGAGAAACTAATTTGCTCTGTAAACTTGCACCGAGAGCACTCACACACACACACACAAATTGACAACATATAGGTGAAAGCAGTGAGTTTTGTTGTATATAATGACTCATTGAAGAAGAGCAAAAAACACACTCTCTTTAGAAAGAAGATGAATTTGCTAAGCTTTTTCTTTCTGTAGTCCTTCTGAAAAGCTATTATGGCTTTATAGCCTACAGCAAAGACTTTTTAATATTGTTACCCTTCCTAGGAAAAAGGTGACTGAACTGAGGTTATAAGCGTTTGAATTTTAAAGTCTTGTCTTCAGTTAGTTATGTGTGGATTTGTCCAAGGGTATATGTAATATCTATTTCAGAAAGCATCAGTTCCTTAGGAACCTAATTCCCAATATGACCTTTACTTGACTGGGGATAAAGTCAGCATTTCACAGCATTATGGAAATTCAGAAAAACGAGTGAAATGGTCTAAACTTTTTACTTGCCTGTGGCTTGTATCTGAAAACCACTTTGATGCTATAATAATGTGGCTGGCTTCTGCATTGTTTCCTTTCTTGTCTTTTCTGTCTTTGTATTTCATACCCTCCTGTCTGTGAGATTTGTAGCTTATTTGCGTTTTGTAGCTATAGCTTGCAAGGTGGTGACAACAAATAATACAGAAATAACAAATATCCAAATGGGTGCTTCCGCCCCAGAATATAGTATATTCTCTTCTGATGTTCTAGTCTCTGTCCTTTGGGTGTCTATATGTGAGTTCTGTTTATGTTAAGCAAGTAGTACTAATTAGCATAAGACTTCTCAAAAAAATTTAGCTGAAAATTTAGAAATTTGTCATTAGGCAGGCTTTATCAGTTAAATGGAAAAAATAAAAAAAGTGTGAGTGGATCCTGCCTTGCCCCAGGCTTCAAATATTACAATATTGAAGTAATAGACATTATAAGTAGTATATTGAGAGCACTGATTAAAAAATAAACAGGAAAATTCCTGAACCCATCTCTGTAAGGCTGTGGTAAACATTAGTTAAACTTCAGAGATTTTTGTTTCGTTTGTTTGGGTCTATGTCTGTTATTCATGGTGAACCCATGTTTTATGGAGTAGAACTGCTCCGTAGGGTTTTCTTGACTATTATCTTTACAGAAACAGATCACCAGGCCTTTCTTCCATGGTGCCACACGGGGTTTGAGCCACCAATCTTTAGGTGGTGTGCAAATTGTTTGTGCCACCCAGGGATCTCATTAGTCAGAATCGACTCATTGGCAACAGGTTTATGCCCATTATTATATTTACAAAATAGCATTTTGATTCACACCTCATAATTTTCTGAAAAATTAATTCCAATTATCATAAACTTAAATGTAAAATAGGAGCCCTGGTGGGACTACTAACCAAAAAAAGGTCAGCAGTTGGAATCTACTAGCCGTTCCTTGGAAACCCTATGGGGCAGTTCTGCTGTGTCCTGTAGGGTCGCTAGGAGTTGGAATTGACTCGACAGCAAACGGTTTGGTTTTTTAAGTTTAAATGTAAAATGTAAATGTAATAAAAATCATAGGAGAAAATTTTTGTAACCTTGGGTTAGGGAAATAGTTCTTCAGTTCGATACCGCAAGTACAAAAGAAACAAATTAATGTTGGACTTCATCAAAAATGTTTTTTGCTTAGTCAGAGTCACATAAGAGAATAAAAAAGACAAGCGAAAAATGTTTGCAAATCATAAATCTGACTAAAGGCTTGTATCAAAACTCATCACTAAGATCCAGAAATAAACCCTTACATTTATAGTCAATTGATTTTCAACAAGGCTGCCAGAACAATTCAGTAAGAAGAAGGATAGTCTTTTCAACAAATGGTGCTGGGACAACTGGATATCCAACATGCAAAAGAATGAAGTTGAACACCTAGGTACCTCATGCCATTTGCAAAAGTTAATTCAAAATGGATCAAATAACTAAATTTAAGAGTTAAAACTATAAAACTCTTAGAAGAAAACATGGGCCTAAATCTTCGTGATCTTGGATTATGCAATGTATTCTTCGATATAACACCAAAAGCACACACAATATAGATAAGTTGTACTTCCTCAAAATTGAAAACTTTAAAAATTGTAATAAAGGACACTGTCGAAAAAGTGGAAAGACAGCCCACAGCATGAGAGAATGTATTTGCAAATCATGTAGTTTGGTCAGTCTCATCCTGTGTCTCCTGCTTAGTCAGAACCTTCACGTGTGGCTGCCATATTCTACTCCCCCCTTACTCTCGAACTTATTTAGGGAAACTCTCCATTATTCCTCTAGACTAATTTAGATCTTCTCATTTTACTTTCTCTTACTATCCTATGTTTATTAATAACACTATCAAATTATAATTAAATTGTAAATTTATTATTTGTATAACTATTTAACATCTGTCTGTATCTTCCACCCCCTCATCTCCAAATACTGTTTATAATTAAGTCACACTTGGTGTTATCAGAATCCTTTGGTTTCTTCCCATCCATATAACTGTGATACTTCTAGGATCAATTGTCCTTTACATACCTTTCTTAAATGATTAGTGGAGTCATTGCAAACCTATCAGAGATAGGAAAGCTTCCTTTGAGAATGATTTTCTTTATTTGTCTCTTGGTAGGGAAACTGAACAGTCAAGATTCCTACAACAATTTTACCAACAACAACCCTGGCAACCCTCGGCTATCTCCTCTCCCCAGCTTGATGGTAGTGATGCCTCTTGCACAAATCAAGCAGCCGATGACATTGGGGACTATCACCAAACGAACAGGGTAAGTCCTCAGGCTTGACACTTTTTTAATAGCTATTTTAGAGGGTTGAATGCATAAAAATAAAACAAACTTTTTCTTTGTGTGGCTTTGATTATGTTCTTCATTTCCAGCCCACATAAGACTTAATTGCAGCAGATTGAGTACAAACTATGGAACTTGCACAAACATACTCACACACAACCATGTGTACATATTCATAGAAAAAACAAGCCAGTGACAGGTTGTAAAAACCAGTATTGGCTAATACAAACCAGATCCATCTACTTAGTCTTATACTTAACTGCTTTCTTGCTTTGCCTTAAAGTACTGTTACGTTTTCTTGCTCTTGAAGACATGATCTGGATTCATAATGAATCCCAAATTTTGTCTGACATAAATCCTAAGGCGAGTACTTTAGGTGATGACCATGTTTATAATTCTTTTTTAAAAGTCACTTTATTGAAGTATAATTTATATACAATAATTTATCATTAGTGTGAAGACAATGTGATATTATGGGTAGTGTTTAAAAGCCAAAGTCCTAAGATTTGGGTTTTATTCAAAATTGGTCGTTAACATCCTCCAAGACTTTGGATGACTCACTTGATTTTTTTATTTTATGCTTATTTTAGCTATTTAAAAATATTCTACCTATTAGGAATATAAAATTATCATTTCTTTGGGTTCCTTGAAATCACTTTTATGAGGAGAAATACTCATTCTTCTCAGGAACAAGGCCTTTGGGCTCCTAATTTCACTGTTAGACAGAAATTGACCTACTTTTCTTAGGTAGAGTGGTGTTTGTATATAAAGTGACCCTATTGCTGTATACAGAAATAAAACTGAGTTTGAGGACTATTAAGAAGAAAGGGAGGAGAAAAGGAAAATATAACAAACAGGTCCAAACTCAGACATTTTATGGCATAGATAATTTGGCTGTACATCCTTTAATTCATTTAAATGTTCAGTAGTAGTTTAATTTTAAAATGAATTTTTTACTTCCCCTTTCTCTTTTAGTTTCTTTATTTTAAAATAAGAAAGAGGATAATAAAATAACCATTGCCGTCAGGTCTGTTCTGACTCATAGCGACTCTGTAGGAAAGAGTAGAACTGCCCCATAGGGTTTCCAAGGAGCAACTGGTGGATTCAAACTGCTTACCTTTTGGTTAGCAGCTGAGCTCTTAACCACTGCACCACCAGGGCTCTAAGAAAATAGGAGTGGCTATTAAATTTAGCACTTAAAGTTAGCTCATTGTTTCTTTGTATGACATTAAATTCCTGGGATGTAGAATCAAATAAAAATGGGACTAAATCTTGAATCATGATTTTAAAATTATTTTTTTCACTGACTGAATTCATACATTACGCAATTATATCTTTTTAAAAAAGAAAAACATAATTTATCTTCTTGATTCAAACAAGCATTGTACAAGTCTGTAAAGCAGTAAGGAATTTTTGCCTGTCTTTCCTGAATCTGTGGGAAAGAATATTCGAAATTGTTTCTCTAGAGTTTAATTTTACATTCAGAGTGAGGAGATTATGAGAAGAAGATTGAAAGGCTCCTGGAGACATCAAGGCATATTCTTGTATTTTGTTTCTGTTTTTTTTTTGTTTGTTTGTTTGTCTTATGGAACACAGGAGGTATGCTATTTTTATAATTTAAAATGTTAGCTCTCATTTTCTAATAAGTTCCTCAAAATATATCTCTAAGCTAGTGACTGGGGTTTTATGGATAAAATGATATGATGTTAGAATATATTCAGAATATTTTGGGGGAGGGGCAAGAGGTGAATCTAAAAGTAGATGAAATAAGATTGGTTATGAGTTGATATTGTTAAAGCTAGGTGATGCATACATGAGGTTTCATTATATTACTTATATACTACTTTAGTGTATTTTTTAAAGTTTCCATAATAATAAAATCCCTTGCTTGCTCTCTCTCCTCTTCTTTCCTACCTTCTCCTTTCCCCTCTCCTACCTCCTCCCCAGAAGCGTAATCCATACTGAAGGCTGTATTCTTTGATCTTCATCAGTAAGTGCTTCAAGTCCTCTTCACTTTCAGCAAGCAAGGTTGTGTCATCTGCATATCAGAGGCTGTTAATGAGTCTTCCTCCAGTCTTGATGCCACATTCCTCTTTGTATAATCCAGCTTCTCTAATTATTTGTTCAGCATACGGATTAAATAAGTATGGTGAAAGGATACAACCCTGACGCACACCTTTCCTGATTTTAAACCATGCAATATCCTGTTGTTCTGTTCAAACGGCTGCCTTTTGGTCTGTGTACAAGTTCTGCATGACCACAATTAAGTGTTCTGAATTCCCATTTTTCACAATGTTATCCATAATTTGTTATGATCCACACAGTTGAATGCCTTTGCATAGTCAATAAAACACAAATAAACATCTTTCTGTTATTCTTTGCTTTCAGCCAAAATCCATCTGATATCAGCAGTGATATCCCTTGTTTCACATTCTCTCCTGAACCTGGCTTGAATTTCTGTCAGTTTCCCTGTTGTTGTACTGCTGCGACTACTTTTGAATGATCTTCAGCAGAATTTTACTTGTGTGTTATATTAATGATATTGTTCGATAATTTCCTCATTCTGTTGGATTACCTTTCTTTGGAATCGGCACAAATATGGATCTCTTCCTGTCGGTTGGCCAGGTAGCTGTCTTCCAAATTTCTTGGCATAGATGAACATTGCATCCATTTGTTGAAACATCTCAATTGGTATTCCATCAATTCCTGGAACCTTATTTTTTGCCAGTGCCTTCAGTGCAGCTTGGAATTCTTCCTTCAATACCATCGTTTCTTGATCATATGCTACCTCCTGAAATAGTTGAAAATCAACCATTTCTTTTTAGTACAGTGATTCTGTATATTCCTTTCATCTTTTTTTTTTTTGTCTTTCTGTATGACTTTTTTTTTTTTTTTTTTTAACATTTTTTTGTGCTTTGGGTGAAAATTTACAGAGTAACTTAGTTTCCCATTCAACAATTTAACACGTTTTGTTTTGTGACATTAGTTGTAATCCCCTCAATGTAACAGCACTCTACCCACTTCCTCCTTGGGTTCCTCGTTTCCATTTGCCCATCTTTCCTGCCTTCTGAACTTTGTTTTTGGGCAGATACTGTCCTTTTGGTCTTGTATGGTTAATTGTTCTGAGGAGCATGTTCCTCACGGGTGTTATTTTTCACTCTATGGTCCTATCTGTTGTTTGGCTGAAAGGAGATCTCTGGGATTGGATTCAGTTCCAGGTTTGAAGGGTGTTAAAGGGCCATAGTCTTGGGGGTTCCACCAATCTTTATCAGACCAGTAAGTCTAGTCTTTTTTATGAATTTGAATTTTGTTCTACATTTGTCCAGGATCTTCTATTGTGATCCCGATCAGAGCAGTTGGTAGTGGTAGCCGGCCACCATCTAGTTCTTCTAGAGGCCGTGGTTTATGTGTTCCATTAGTCATTTGTACTAATTGTTTCCGTGAGTCTTTGATTTTCTTCATTTTTGTTTGTTCTGGATGGGAAGAGACTAATAGTTGTATCTTAGATGGCCGTTTGCAGTCTTTTAAGACTCCATTTGCTACTCACCAAAGTGGTATGTAGAACTTTGTCTTTATGGACTTCTATCTTCATCATTCAGTAGTTTGCCCATAAAATCCTTCAGTATTGCAACTTGAGGCTTGAATTGCCTTTTCCTTCCTATTAACGCAGATTACAGTGACCAATAAACTCATTGATGGCAGTGGTCCTAACTTATACTTGCCCATTGCTAGTTTACAAGGCTTAATAACCTTAACACACTTTAAGAAGGATTTGTTGATTATACCCAGAAGTTGCTGTTGTAACTTTATCATTCTTTTATTATAACTCACCCAAAGATTTGGTCAGAGAGTATTCAAAATATAATTTGTGGTCTTATTATCCTAAAATTTAACACTTACATTATAATGTATGTATTTTGCCTTATCAAAAGTAATTCATTGTTTAAGAACAAAATTCCCTGAGTTTCCATTTTTGACATATACCAAGTTTTAAAGCAAATGCCAGAAAATGTATCTTTTTACCCTATTAGATTTTAAAGGCTATGTTTATTTCATTTTTATTTTTAAAATTTTTACTATGACCAATTCTCAAGACTTCAGTTAGTTAATTTGCATTAATTATTTCCATTAAATTTTATTGTATTTATTGATAAATTTGATTGCCACAATATGGTCACCGGGATAATGGGCAAATGGGGTTTCCATTTTCCAGGTTTCTTTTCATTCTCCCGGAAATTCTCACTTACTGTTTGTTTCTTTGAAACTCCTTTTCTACTATTTCATTTTTATTGGTGTGAAATTTACACAACATACAATTACCATTTTAAAGTGTACAATTTATTACATTCATGATGTTGTGCAACCACCACTTCTCTCTAGCTTAGAAACTTTTTCAGCACCTCAGAAAAACACCCTTTATCTATTAAACTCATATTACTACTACCCAGGGCTGTCAAGTCACTTCCAGCTCATAGTGACCCTATGTAGTATTTTAAAAATAAAATTAACCAGAGGTATTTCACCTCAATTATGAAGAAAGAGAACACAGAACCTACCTATTTATAGACATGTAAAATTTATGAATATTTACAATATACCTGATAATGTATCTAGTAAAATTATGTACTTACTTAGGTTGTATCAACTTTTATTTGTTATGTGTTGTAAGTATTTGGCATAAAGGTGTAAAATGACCATAAGAAGTTAACTTTATGCAGCAGAGATTTCTAAGGAATGTTTGAGATCTAATATTTAAATATCTAAATGGAGATGGAAGCTTTGACTCAGACCTTCAGGGGAGAAAGCGTGTGCTTACCATATTTAACATCTTCTCTCTTATTTTTGGAAATACATATCCCTGAAAGACTCTGCAGTGTAATATTTAAACATGACAGGGACCATCTGTCTGACTCCAAGATGTGCAGGAGGACTAGAAATGGCAATAGACAGATGTATTTACACCTTCTTGTTCAAGACCT